GGGCGGGGGGGGACATAGTCAAAAATGTGGGGCGAGAGGGGTGAGAAGTGGAGGCCCAAGGAATTGGGAAGGTCGCGGGGCGGGGGAGAGCTATTAGGAACCCCATAGAAAAGTAATGATATATGGAATTGGGGGGGGGGAGCAGACATTGTAAGCTGCCTGGAGGGGCGTTGGGGGAATCTTATGTGTGGAGAAGAAAGGGGGAAAGCAGGAGAGGAAATGGATCCTTTGTGTGTTCTGCAGGCGATAAATACATCAGTGGCTTTTCTTGGTACCCCATAGGCAACGGATAAGGTAGACTTGGGACCTTGTCAGTTAGACCCATGCAGATTTCGAACTGGGTCCCCATGTGGGCCACGCCTTGCTTAGTCCAAAAATGAGGATGACACTCCTCGGAGGACTTGTAAGGGAGTTAAAGACACATTTTTGGGGAATAAAGCTGCCCTATTGGTGGGTAGGAGTGGGGGGTGGAAGAAGACAAAGACTCTCTAAGACGTCCAGGAAAAGGGCGAAGGCAGGAGGAAAAGAGGAAGAACCCAATGGGAGAGGTGTTGACTCCAAAAGGAAGCCACAGGCTTGGGTTTGTAGGCATTGAGCCGGGCTGTTAATGATAAGACTTTTGGAAGGTCTCTCTTTCAACAATTTGGCCTAGCATGGAAGCAACTGGACTTCACGTAAGAAGGCTGTCGTGGCAACTGAGCATGTACAGAGTTTGCTGCATTGCTCTCTGTTATGCTCGTAGCTTTCCTTAGGCATCAGGTTGGCCTCATGGTGGAAGACAACGTGCTGAGCTAAATTGCGTTTGGTCCGGCCTGGGAGAGCTGCTGTTTGTGTTTGTTTCATTTTTTTAAATCCTGCTTTTTGGTTGCAGAAGGACGTCCCCAAAGCAACTGGCAAGGGGGGGAAATGATCACAATCCAAAGGCAAAAAAAGGGGAGAAGAATCTAAAAAGGTAGAAAATAAAGAGAGCTGTATTGTGGTAACAAGACTGACAGATTTATTTCAGTTGGGTCACCTTCAGGGTGGTTGTTAATGTGCCGTCAAATCCCCTCCACCTTACTCCATGGTTACAAGTGTTTGATATGGATTGTTATGGTTCTGTTCTGAGTAAAACTGGCATTTGTAGCATGATGATGATCTTAGAAATATCTGGTGTATCCTGCTGAATTTACACCAGATGATTCTGAGTATCTCAGCGAACTATCGATTTGAGGATCGGACAGAAGTAGTATTAAATTGTATGCATGTAGTGCTGAAGGAAAACTTTACAAAGGGGGAATCGGGGACGGCATGGGTGAGTAACGGTCTTCAGCTAAGTCAGATGTTCCAGATATTTACTGAACTCAGTGGGTTTTGGTGCACCTGACTCCTCAAGGAATGAGTCTAAGACAGAGTGCCTTTTGTTTTGGCAAGCAATGATCAAGAAAGTTTTTAAAAAATTAATGCCAGTGGACTCCATGCCTCCTTCTCATACATCTGCAACAACTGTCTACTGTCAGGGCACTATATTGGGTAGATTGCTTTATAGCATCATCTTCAGTTCTGTTTCCCATTTTGTGCGCACAGAGCTGTTTATAATTCTGCTGCCCCCTGATTTCCTCTTTCCTATGTCCCACAACCTCTGCTGCCCCCTGATTTCCTCTTTCCTATCTATATCCCACAACGCCTTCTTTACCTCTACTGCCCCTGTTTGATCCATAATAGGTGCTTGGGTGACTCAATACTTTGTAATACCTTTTTTACGGAATCATATTTTGGCTTCAAGTGCTTCTGGAAAGAAAATCTGAACAATTCAGTGGTATTGAGTGGCTTTTCGGTTTGCATGAAGAGTGCTCGTCTAGCTTTTTTCTGTACAAGCATATGTTCATGCGGGATTAAAGCACAGACTTGCCATTCAGTTGAGGCATGGTGTTTTTCCACAAGAGGGCAGCAAATATCTTCTCCCTCTTCCGAATCAATTTCTTACAAGGATCTGGAAGCTGAGTCATGGCAACTGGACTTCTTCCTTATTAGCTTGAAACGTTGCACGACTCATCCAAGTAGCTTCTTCTGTCTGAGGAGAGTTGGTAGGAGACCCCTGATAGATCCTCCATGTTGATTTCACTTCCCCCTGGTCTGGATAGGCTCATTAGATGGACCCAGAAAGATCATCCGCTCCCGGAAAGATTGGGACCACATCCACCAGAATGCTAAGGACTGTTAGCAACTCATGACAATGGGTGGAGAAGGACTGCAGAAGTGGGATTATCCCTCACCCCCTGTCCTTTGTCCTTCTAAGGAGCCTGTTCAGACCAGAGGGAAGTGAAACCAACGTAGAGGATCTACCAGGGCTCTCCTACCAACTCTCCTCAGACCGAAGGAGCGACTTGGAGGAGTGGTGAAACGTTTCAATCTAATAGGAAAGAAGTCCGGTGGCCATGACTCAACTTCCAGATAACCTCACTTGGATGAATGAGAATCTTTGCAGATATGTTCCTACAAGGATGTTAGAACCAATCTGTAGGTTGCAAATGTTTTTGTGTCTTTAGGACCACTGGAAAAGGAAGCAGTGGCTGGAACAAGCCTGTTGCATGAAAGCCAAGGCATTTTCGAAACCATTATTTATAGTGGTGAGTTTCTGTGCCAGAATTTGAAATGTGGCCACTAATTCTCACTCTGAAGTTTTTTTTTTTAAAATGCTGATTAAAATCAGAACCTGGAAAATTCACTTTTGGGGGCTCTAACACTCAAAACTCTTGAGCCAGTTTAGCCATTTGTGGGAACTGACATTTAAGACTATGCTCTGGTCTTCAAACATTACTCAAAATATTAGGACGCCTAGTTCATGTAATATGGTTTGATAGATTTCTGTGGGAAAAGAGAGATTTCTCAAGGGCTATTGAGTATGTTAAATGAGCTTCCATGTCCAGAGGCAGTGTATCTCTTCAAATACCATTTGGGTGGCCTTAGTGTGGAAAAGCTTTGCCTTTATTCCATACCTGGGAAATTCAGTTTTTTCTTCTGTTCTTATGACTATGCTTTATTCTTCATTACAAAGGAACATTCACATTATGATGCATGCAATCCCCCTGAGGAAATACAGGCGTTGCAGACTTATTTGAAACCACAGTTTTGAAAGTGATTATATTAAAATGTAATTTAGCTTTATAAAGCATATTGAAAAGGATCTTGTTATCAAAATGTATTTCCTTCTCCCTTCCCTTTGCTCCCCCCCCCTTTGTCTAACACAAATACTCACTTTTAGGGATGATGTAAATACATCCCCCACAAGAGTGACTGAAAACCATATCATGTGGTAGTGCTTTAGGTGGGTGTCCATCACATTTTATGCAACTTACTACGTGCTTTGGCGTAATCGCTTGTTGAGTCTCCATGCCAACATTTCCTGGAACATGTATGTAGCTATGCCAGGGAGACCTTGCATATGACTGGGAGCCAGTAACGAGAAATGTCAAAAACTCAAAAATGAGATAATATACCTCCTTAAATGAAATAATCGGTATGCACAGAACATTCTGCTGTTTATCATGGGGTGCACCACTAGCTTATGACAAAAAGCTGGTAAATGTATAGGATAAGAGCACAATTACGTAAGTTGTAGTGCTTCCAGCTTTATAGAGGGAGGTCTTTATAGAAGCTGAAAAAGATTTCCTCAAAGGAATGGTCACTAGCCCCCAGAATTACATTTTAAGCCCTCCGTAGATTCTGCTGTTGGTGTGGGGAGAAGAAACAACAAACCGATTTAAAACTTCTCAAGAGGAAGATTTCCTGTGCAGAATGTTATGGGCAGCTATAATTTCATCCGAGACCCAAACCACCCATTTACTTTGAGTAATTAAAACAGTAAATAGCCCCATTAATGTGTTTAAAAGAAGATTACAGTTTTGCTCAAAAGCTAATTAATTTTATTTATTTATTTCCCCATTTCTATAGTGCCTCATTAGTAGGATTACTCTCAGTGGTTCACAACATACAATAAAATCATACAATAAACGACACCGTGTAATAAATGCAATAAAAATACAGTAAAGTACGATAAACCCTGCACTTAGCTAAAACAGTGAACCTACCTTTGAACAGAAAAACACAAATCAAACCTATTTGAGTAAATCAGGTCCATATTTGCCACTAGTAGAATGAAGATCTATATAATTCTGTCTTAATTAGCTTCATAAAGCCTGAGGGGAATGGTGTCTGGCAAACCTCTCTAGGAAGCTGATTCCAAAGGGAAGGGACCATTATAATTCTGTCTTAATTAGCTTCCTAAAGCCTGAGGGGAATGTTGCCTGGCAAACCTCTCGAGGAAGCTGATTCCAAAGGGAAGGGACCACAACCTAGAAAGTGTGGTTCCTTAGTATTTGTTTTCTTGGCCTTCTTGCATGTTACAGTTCTTAACATCACAATGTGATTTCATGGCATGAACACTGATGTTTGTTGGTGACTATTGTATTCATGCAGTTCCAGCAACAAACGTTCTAGACAGCCTGTGTTTAGTGATGAAGCCACCTCCTTAGGAGATGTGAATTAGGCAGACCTCTGTTTGAGAAATCAGGCTTTAAAGGGACGCTGAGCTTAAGTTCTGAAGACCTGTCATGGAACATAGCAAAGTAACCTGCTGGTTACATGAGCAGAGGAAAATTCCTTCTGTGCACTTATATGCCTGCAGCAGATAACAGAATTATGTCTTGTAACTGTGGGTTATCTGTAATGTCTGTTACTGCTTTGAGAGAGGCGTG